CCAAACTCGTTGTCGGTCGGCAAAAACATCGATCGGCAAACTCGTAAAAAAAAAAAAAAAACATCGATCGGCAAACTCGTCGTCGGTCGGCAAAAACATCGATGGGAAAAAAAAAAATCGATCGGCAAATACATCGATGTTCGAAGCCTGGCACTAGCTCACCGATCAAAAAAAAAAAGGGTTCTGGTAATGAATGTGATACAAAATGGCGGATTACGTACGCGAGGTAAAAAAAAAAAAGAAGGTGAAAGATGGTTTTATGTGTTTATTTTTTGTTGTTGTTTTCTCCAAAAAAAAAAAGGTATATCTTGCCAGTTGAACTCACTACTATTCGGGAGTTCCATGTCCAAAAAAAAAAAAATTTAAGGTATTTTGACAACATTTATTTGGAACTTTTATTACAATATACCTAAAAAAAAAAAATGCAGCAAATAAGCTTATAACTTAAATCTATCAAGGCAGTGACGGTTCCAAAAAAAAAAAACGGGTTCAGCTGCACCCGTTTTTGTGTTTAACTTAAATAAGACAAGTTTAAAAAAAAAAATTAAATCAAACCGCACTCACATATAAAAGCAGAGAAGCGGAAAACCTGTAAAAAAAAAAAACAAATGGTAGATCCGCCACTTTTTATATGAACTGTGTTAGGTTGAGTAAGAAAAAAAAAAATATATTTTGAACAGACAACAATATTGAACTAAAATATCTTTATTTGGCTTAAAAAAAAAAAGACCTAATTGGCTTTGGCTAATGTGTTGCCATGTGCATTACCACCCAATTAAAAAAAAAAATCTGAGTAATTCAAATACTGTGGGAAAAAGACTTTGATTCTAAGAATTCAAAAAAAAAAAAAAAATGCTGTAGCCTGTGTCACATCCGGAAAAACCATGTATATTTTCTGTAAAAAAAAAAATGCCMAAATACAGTAAACAATGAAACTTATGGGCAAATAATAAATGTACCTCTGTCTAGTTTGTTTTGTATCTTCTTTAGTGGATTACTATAACTTGATAATTTTCGCCCGAAAAAAAAAAAAGTCTTTAATGTAACTTAAAATGACATCCAAAATAACTTCACTCCAGCCTAAAAAAAAAAATGTCATTTTCATCCGTCTGTGAAATAGGAATTGTACTATTAAAGACTATTAAAAAAAAAAAGCTGCAAATTGTTTAACTTATGACATGAGATGAACAAATTAGGGGAACACAAAAAAAAAAACCTTTTGGTAGACTTCTACACCCTAATAGTTACTGACTAGTATGTAATTCAAAAAAAAAAAGATGAAAATGACTCTACTTGTAAGGAAGAAATAAAAGCAAGGTTTTTGAAAAAAAAAAAAATTCTGCTTTTAAGCTCACAAATAGAGATTCAACTGTAATATAATAATAATAAAAAAAAAAAAGTGATGTTCATCCTCTAAACTGCTATCAAAACGTTTGTCTGTCACTGCAAAAAAAAAAAATGCTATTGCAGTTGCACATGCTCGCTAGATTATTACATTTGTACTTTTTAAAAAAAAAAAATATTCAAATTAAGAATTTCATTTCCACCTTCAGGATTGAAAAGAAAAAAAAAAAAAAAAAACAAAACCTAAACTCGCAGTTCCACAGGAACCCCGAGTAATAATTCTTGATAAAAAAAAAAAGTTCTTTGCCTTCATAATTTTGAACTAAAAAAGTACTATAGTCTTAGAGAAAAAAAAAAAAATTATATTTAATTTAATAAATGGTTTCAAATAGTTTTTCCAGTGTACAAAAAAAAAAAAAATACTGTTATGTCAATTCAGTAGATTTCAATGATATTGCAGGTACAGTGACAAAAAAAAAAATTAAATCGGCTAACATGATGCTTTAAATGTTTCCACCCAATTACTGTATTAAAAAAAAAAATCACAGACAGAAAATAAATGTGTTTTTTTTTTTGGATGTGACGCAAGCTAAAAAAAAAAAAATTTCACAGTTGAATTACTTCTTAGAATCAAAGATTTTTTGCCCACAGTAAAAAAAAAAAATGGTAAATGTACATCAGGCAACACATTAGCCAAAGCCAATTAGTATATATAAAAAAAAAAATGTTGTCTGTTCAAAATATAATAATGGTCTCACTACCTAACACAGTTCGAAAAAAAAAAAATATTCATACAAAAATGCAAGAACTTTTCAATTACCTGAAAGATTACAACTAAAAAAAAAAAATTTATTCACTTTGTAATTAGGACACAAATTACAAAAAGATAGATTTAATAAAAAAAAAAAACCTGTGTCTTACCAAACACAATTACAATATAACTGCAGGTTAACAACATAAAAAAAAAAAAAGTCACTTCCTGTTTAAGAACTGTTTAAGAAGATTTCTCTTTTAATATTAAAAAAAAAAATGGCCACCATTTTGACAAGTACAACATGTACCTTAAAAAGAATTGAATTCAAAAAAAAAAACTTCAAAGCTTGGCTAAATTGATCCCTAAATCATTAAGTTAAGTTACAATAAAAAAAAAAACTGAATCTGAACGTCTTGGTTATTAATTAAACTTTTAAGTTAAAACTTTCAAAAAAAAAAATTCAAGGACCTACAGCAGCTCTAACATCAAGGAACTTGGATATATGGAACAAAAAAAAAAAAGTGAGTTCAACTGGCAAGATATACCATTTGATGTTGGGAGAAAAAAAACAAAAAAAAAAATAAACATAAAACCATCTTTCACCTTCTACGTAAA